TAGAGAACCCAGAAGTGGACCCTGAACTTTATGGTCAACTAATATTCGATAAAGGAGGAAAGACTATCCACTGGAAGAAAGACAGTCTCTTCAATAAATGGTGCTGGGAAAATTGGACATCCACATGCAGAAGAATGAATCTAGACCACTCTCTTGCACCATACACAAAGATAAACTCAAAATGGATGAAAGATCTAAATGTGAGACAAGATTCCATCAAAATCCTAGAGGAGAACACAGGCAACACCCTTTTTGAACTTGGCCACAGTAACTTCTTGCAAGATACATCCACGAAAGCAAAAGAAACAAAAGCAAAAATGAACTATTGGGACTTCATCAAGATAAGAAGCTTTTGCACAGCAAAGGATACAGTCAACAAAACTCAAAGACAACCTACAGAATGGGAGAAGATATTTGCAAATAACATATCAGATAAAGGGCTAGTTTCCAAGATCTATAAAGAACTTATTAAACTCAACACCAAAGAAACAAACAATCCAATCATGAAATGGGCAAAAGACATGAAGAGAAATCTCACAGAGGAAGACATAGACATGGCCAACATGCACATGAGAAAATGCTCTGCATCACTTGCCAGCAGGGAAATACAAATCAAAACCACAATGAGAGGGAACCCTGGGTGGCGCAGCGGTTTAGCGCCTGCCTTTGGCCCAGGGCGCGATCCTGGAGACCCAGGATCGAGTCCCACGTCGGGCTCCCGGTGCATGGAGCCTGCTTCTCCCTCTGCCTGTGTCTCTGCCTTGCCTCTCTCTATCTCTGTAACTATCATAAATAAATAAAAAAAGTAAAAAAAATTCAAAAAAAAAAACCACAATGAGATACCACCTCACACCAGTGAGAATGGGGAAAATTAACAAGGCAGGAAACAACAAATGTTGGAGAGGATGCGGAGAAAAGGGAACACTCTTACACTGTTGGTGGGAATGTGAACTGGTGCAGCCACTCTGGAAAACCGTGTGGAGGTTCCTCAAAGAGTTAAAAATAGACCTGCCCTATGACCCAGCAATTGCACTGTTAGGGATTTACCCCAAAGATTCAGATGCAGTAAAACGCCAGGACACCTGCACCCCGATGTTTCTAGCAGCCATGTCCACAATAGCCAAACTGTGGAAGGAGCCTCGGTGTCCAACGAAAGATGAATGGATAAAGAAGATGTGGTTTATGTATACAATGGAATATTACTCAGCCATTTGAAACGACAAATACCCACCATTCGTCAACATGGATGGAACTGGAGGGTATTATGTTGAGTGAAGTAAGTCAATCGGAGATAGACAAACAGTGTATGTTCTCATTCATTTGGGGAATATGAATAATAGTGAAAGGGAATATAAGGGAAGGGAGAAGAAATGTGTGGGAAATATCAGAAAGGGAGACAGAACATAAAGACTCCTAACTCTGGGAAACGAACTAGGGGTGGTGGAAGGGGAGGAGGGCGGGTGGTGGGGGTGAATGGGTGACGGGCACTGAGGGGGACACTTGACGGGATGAGCACTGGGTGTTATTCTCTATGTTGGTAAATTGAACACCAATAAATATTAATTTATTTTAAAAAAAAGCTACACTGAGAAAACCTAACATACTTGTACATGAACTTTCAAAAGAAAAAGGACAGATAATGGAACAAATGGTTTCTTGGAAGATATATAGGCTGATAATTTTCTAAAGCTTGTGAAAGTCAACAATTCAAGATGTTAGGAGGCCTACACACACTAAGCAGGATAAAACAAACGATATCTAAGCACATCACAGTAAAACAGATAAAAATCAAAGTAAAAAATTTTGAGAGCAGCCAGAGATAGTAAAATACATTATTTTTAGTAAAGTTAACAGGAAGATTGGTAACAGACCTTTAAAATGAAATGTGAAATGGTCTATTCAAATTGCTGAGTTATTTCCAACATGGAAGTCTGTACTAAACAAACACATGCTTCAAAAATAAAGGTGTGAGCAGCCCTGGTGGCTCAGTGGTTTACCACCGCCTCCAGCCCAGAGTGGGATCCCAGTGACCCGGGATTGAGTCCCACGTCAGGCCCCCTGAATGGAGGGAGCCTGCTTCGCCCTCTGCCTGTGAAATCCATCTGGACCAGTGGATCATTTCAAGCTCTTGTCTCTTTGGAGATGTAGTGTTTAGAAGATCGTTCAGTAGCAGAAATTGCCATGTGGAATTCTCCAACTATTAGTGTATTATTATCTAAGTAGGTCTTTACTTTGGTTATGAATTGATTGATATACTTGGCAGCTCCCACATTAGGGGCATAACTATTCATGATTTTTAGGTCCTCTTGTTGGGTAGACCCGTTAAGTATGATATAGTTTCGCTCTTCAGAGAGATAGCATTCTAATTTGTATGTACCTAAAAAGAGAGCTTTAAATTTTTAAAGTAAATACTACTAGACTCACAGTGACTATCAGACGACATTAATATCTAAGTAACCGAAAGAACAAGTACAGTAATTATAACTGTAGTTTCCACACTATGATTTAATAAGTTTTACCTGAATAAAATATAGAGAAGAGAGGAACCAAGGATCACACCAAGGCATTCCTGTCACATGCATAGGAAATATTTTGAAAAATGGAAGAGGGTATCCCTGGGTGGTCAGCAGTTTAGCGCCTGCATTCAGCCCCGGGGATGATCCTTGAGTCCTGGTATTGAGTCCCACATCAGCCTCCCTGCATGGAGCCTGCTTCTTCTCTGCCTGTGTGTGTCTCCCATGAATAAATATTAAAACCACTCTGGAAAACTGTGTGGAGGTTCCTCAAAGAGTTAAAAATAGATCTCCCCTACAACTCAGCAATTGCAGAGCTAGGGATTTACCCCAAACATACAGAGGCAATGAAACGCCGGGACACCTGTACCCCGATGCCTATAGCAGCAATGTCCACAATAGCCAAACTGTGGAAGGAGCCTCAGTGTCCATCAAAAGATGAATGGATAAAGAAAATGTGGCATATGTATACAATGGAATATTACTCAGCCATTAGAAAAGAGAAATACCCACCATTTGCTTCGACGTGGATGAAACTGGAGGGTATTATGCTGAGTGAAATAAGTCAATCAGAGAAGGACAAACATTGTATGGTCTCATTCATTTGGGGAATATAAAAAATAGTGAAAGGGAATAAAGGGGAAAGGAGAAAAAAATAAGTGGGAAATATCAGAAAGGAAGACACAGAACATGAAAGACTCCTTACTCTGGGAAACGAACTAGGGCGGTGGAAGGGGAGGTGGGCAGGGCATGGGTGGGGGTGATGGGTACTGAGGTGGGCACTTGACGGAATGAGCACTGGGTGTTATTCTATATGGTGGGAAATTGAACACCAATAAAAAATAAAATAAAATAAAATAAATAAAATAAAATAAAATAAAATAAAATCTCTCAAAAAATAAAAATAAAAAGTGGAACCAATTCTGAGCCATTTATCATGTTTCAAAACATTTCAAAAGACTAAAACCAAGCTTTCTCTGACTGCAGGCCAACAGGCCTAGAATCAGTATTTGAAAATTTGCAAACTCCCCAAATGTTTGGAAACTAGGCAATACACCTGCAAAACACAATGGACCAGAGATATTGGGAAATAGGTTAAATGGAACAAAAACCGTGTGAGATATCTAAACATATAGGATGTACAAAATAGTATGGGACACAACAACATCCTTGCTTTAAGGGAAATGTATACCATCAGATGTTTATATAAGAGAAACAGAAACGCAGACAAGTTAAGGTAAACGAATTATCTCCAGAAGTTAGAGAAACCATAAATTAAATCCACCTTAAATATATGGAAGGAAATAAAGAAAACAAGATACGACTAGAAAACAGAAAAAAAATAGTGAGTTAATTAAATTGAGAAATCACTGGTAAGAATCAACTTAGAAAAAAGGGGGGAAAAAAGCAAATACATAACAATGAAGATGTCCCTTAGGAACCTAAAATGAAATTAGGGACACCAGGGTGGCTCAGTGGTTGAGGGTCTGCCTTTGGCTCAAATCATCAGTCTGGGGTCCTGGGATTGAGTCCAGCCATTGGAATCCCTGCAGGGGCCATGCTTCTCCCACTGCCTAAATGTCCTTCGTGAATAAATAAATAAACTCTTTAAAGAAGAAATCTAAAATATTAAACGATCAAACAATCACAAGAGAACGTGGTGATCAATATTTATCAATTAAAATGGAGTGATATATTATCAAGTTTATTTTTTTTAAATTTATTTATTTATGATAGTCACACGCACACACAGAGAGAGGCAGAGACACAGGCAGAGGGAGAAGCAGGCTCCATGCACCGGGAGCCCGACGTGGGATTCGATCCCGGGTCTCCAGGATCGCGCCCCGGGCCAAAGGCAGGCGCCAAACCGCTGCGCCACCCACGCCAACTTTTATCAAGTTTAGATAAAAGATGTAATTCCTAGGAAACCACAATTTCCTAAAACTGACACAAGATTTAAACATCAGAGTAGTCCTACAACTATTAAAGAAATTGAAGGATACTTGGGTGTCTCAGCTGGTAAAGCACCTGGCTTCCGCTTAGGTCATGATCTTGGGATCCTGGGATCCAGCCTTGAGTTGGGAGCCACCTGGTGAAAGCGCAGGGGGCCACAGGGCACCAAGGCCGCCCCCACCCACACCCCAAACACCACCCCAGGCCTGAGACCCCGCGTCACTCACCAGCCTCCAAGACACAGAGCGGGCTTCGCCCGCCGCCGCCCCTGCCCCCGCCTCAGAAGATCCCGCGCTGGTCCGGACCCCGGGGGTGGGGGGTCACAGGGCGCCAACTGGCACCATGGCCACCCACACAGCAACCCCAAACCCAGGCCTGCGCCCGCGTGTCGCCCACCGACCTCCCCCGACACAGAGCAGGCTCCGCCGCCGCCCGCCAAGGCCGCCCTCTTCCTGACCCCGGGGGGACGCGGGGGCCACTCAGCCCTCGGCCGCCCCACCCCCACCCCCAAGCCTGCGCCCCCGCCTCACTCACCGGCCTCCCACCCCACAGGGCGGACTCCGCCCACCGCTACCGCGGCCGCCGCCCGCCGCCACCTTTGTCCGGACCAGGCGGACGGGGTGACAACGACCCTACCGCCTCAGCCAGAGGCGTCCGCAGCGAGGCCCCTGAGGACCAACCGTCCCCTGAGAGCCAGACGGGCACTGACTGGCTTTCCCAGGGTGGCGAGGCTGCGCCCTCTAGGGCTCTGAGTGCGCATGCGCCGGGGGCGCTCCTGTGGCCGGCCTCCCACTGGCGCCTCGGGGGCTCCCTGGCTCAGCGCGGAGCCTTAACCCTTCCAGCCCTGGACTGGGACAAGGGCGGCTTGGAAGAGCGCGGCAAGCGGGGCGAAGATGCCCACGGCGGCCACGCACAGGCGGCCTCGGCCATGTCGGGTGGCTCTGAACGCCCGGAGCCCAGCCGGGCGGGTGGTGCGCGGGGTTAAGGTTAGAAGCTCGGGAGGGAGCTCCGGAGTGAGGCCGCCGCCTCCGGCCCTTGTCTGGAACACGGGGGGCGCAGGGGGCCACCTGGCACCTTGACCGACGCACACCCAACCCAGACCTGCGCCCGCGCCTCCCCCACGGGCCTCAAAGGACACAGAGCACACACCGCCCGCTGCCGCCGCCGCGGCTGCCACCCACACTCCCGTAGCCGCCACCGCTCCCGCCCTTGTCGGGACCCTGGGGGGGTGTGACCCTGGGGTCCTGGAATCGAGTCCCACACCGGCCTCTCTGCAGGGAGCCTGCTTCTCCCTCTGCCTGTGTCTCTGCCTCTCTGTATCTCTCATGAATAAATAAAATCTTTTTTTAGAAAAAGGACTTCACTTATTGAATCATTATGTTGTACACCTGAAATTAATGTAACACTATGATAGTTATAATTGAGTTTTAAAATTATATATTCATATATATTCAATATACATTTATATATTTATTCGTGAAAGGCACAGAGAGAGAGAGAGACAGAGGCAGAGACACAGGCAGAGGGAGAAGCAGGCTCCATGAAGGGAGACGGACAAGGGACTCGGTCTCCGGTCGCCAGGATGATGCCCTGGGCTGAAGGCGGCGCTAAACCGCTGAGCCACTCGGGCTTCCCTATATTTAAAATATTTAATACATTTATTAAATGTATATTATATCTATTAAAACATAGCTGATACATTAAAATTATATATATTAATTAAATTAATATAAAAACAAATACCAATATTTATTTTAAATAAATATTAAATATTATTAATTAAAGTTGAATTTAAATAATACCAAAATATAAATACTTATTCAATATATTTATATTAGTATATGTTATTGAATATATATTATTGAATATATTTATATGTAAATTTTTATATGTAATCTATTATACGTCTATTTATATATTATATTTATAATATTGCTTTAGATTATATTCTAAATATATTAAATTATATTATAATATATTATATTTCTAATACTATATATATATCTCTACCCAGGTATTAGGTCAGCTGTTAGCTTGAGACCTCAGTTTTCTGACACATCTAAGAAGAGTTGTTTTCCGTTTGTTCAGCCTTTTTCCTTATTGTGAGGACAGGAGCAATGAATTCTAAACTCTTTATGTGTTGGCCTGGCAATGGAATTTGAATATGCCTCTTTTCTCAAACCCATTCCTGTTCCAGATTTCCCTTAGCCTAGAGAAAGTGATGATTTTTCTTTCACTTACAGGGAAAAAAAAAAAACCTGTCATAACCTGGGGGCACCATCATAATTCAACTCATCTATTTTTGCTTGGCAATGGCCCCATTCCTGAGTGTTTGTCCTGGAATTGGGTGCATGGTTTTCCTGCCCACCTGCCCTAGATGTAGCAGCTGAACTTTCTATCAACACAGAATAGATTCATTTCTGGAAACTCCATCGCAGTGTAATCAATGGCAGTTTACTCTCAAGTACAAGCCCTTCATTCACACTTTACTCTGAGTTAACCAGCTCATTCTTCTTGTTGAGGTGCCTGGAGCTACATGCAGAACATCGTACCAAGTAAACTCATTTTGGTTAATTTTGAAACATTCAGGACCTTCTGAACCCTGTGGCTTTCATTGGAAAGCCAGTTTGATGGCCTGATTTACTAAAATTCACTTCATTTAGATCATTAATGAAAATGTTAACTATCAAGAAATATATTCCTTTTGTAACTGACCCCAAGTCTGTCTGTGCAATGTGCAGCAAGGTCAATCACTGAGACATCAGGTGTGCAGTAAGGAATGGGTTTTTGAGAGGCAGCCAAACAAGGAGAGCAAGCTTCCCCTCCTCTGCCTCCCTGAAACAGGAGAGAAAAAGTTTTTTTTATAATCATAGGGGGTTTGTGGTTACATATATATTGATGAAAAGGGCAAGGAAGCTTATGATAATTCATGAGGAAAGATGGAGTATGTACATTTAGTAAACATATGTGTAACATACATCCATTGTTCACCCTGGGGTGGACACAACACCAAAATGAGGCAAAATTCAGCTCCTGATGTCAGAAGGTTGTCTTAGCATAAGGAGAAGGAGCTGAGGGCATGCTCTGAGAGCTAGTATAAACCAGATGGTGTCTTGGGCCGTGTAACAACACAGCCCAAGCCCTTCCTTGGGTAAGGAATTCAGGGCCTTGCTTGTTCACAGCCTAGGACCATATCATTGACCTTCAGTTCTGGCCTCTGTGGAGACAGCTCATGTATTAGTGGTGTTCAAAAAAACATGATAGGTGACTAGGGAGAAACAGTTCTCTTCGAAACAAGCTTTACATTTTCTACTACTTTCAACCTTCACTTGGGTATAGTTTTTTTCCCATTTTAATCTTTAAGACATCTTTGGAAGGCAGAAGTCAATGCTCATCCTTTTCCCAAACACCTGCTAAGGTTTAGGGAGCCAGAACAGAAATGTAGATGAGGCTCCTGCTATCAAAGGACCTGAACATTAGCCAGAGTTATGGTACAAATGAACACCACAGTCCTAGGCCTTGGATGGGAAGTGATGAATAGGTCTTATAATTATTGCACGTTGAATTGTCAGAAGAGGGAAGATTATTTGTTTTTTTATCTCCTGATCAGGAAGCCTGACCAGTTGGGTGCTGATGTGACCTTTAAAGAACAGGCCACACACAAAGACACAAAGGAGAAGAGATTAGTGAGGATGCAGAAGGCACAGGGTGTATGTAGAAGAGTGAGGGCCAATGTGACAGAACAGACACTATGTAAGAAGGTTGAATTAATATGGGGCAGTACTTGGCATAGAAGGACTGAAAGGTCTACAGGGAAGGTCTGTGACAGTCATCATCTGGCGAGTCTGGGGCCTGCATGGCATGGGGAATGTAGTGCAGCCTAGGGCAGCTGGCAGGGATAAGAGGGCAGAGGGGGCAGAGGGGCCCACACAAGTGTCAAGGAGAAAGATTCCCATTTTTTCCGTACTGCCAAGGGCCCTCTTGGGACTAGATAGGTGCTTCTGGGGCTGACTGGTTTGTACTTCCTGCTCTCTCTGGGTGACTCTATGCCCCTCTCCACATTCAGCAGCTAAGTGAGTAACTCTCTGAGACCCAAGTAGAGGAAGTGTGCACTAGAGATAGGTGGTAGCCCTGGGATGGAACCCCAGACTGGCTCCTTGGACCTGCATCTGCAAGGTTACACAGCTCCTTCTCCTGGGTGCTCTCCCTCCCACCCTCACTTCCGCAGCTGCTTGCAGCAGGCTCCCAGCAGCCAGCTTGGGCCCCAAAGACATCTCTCTCAGTTCAGAGGAGCTCCAGGGTGGGGGCTCAACTTCTAAGGGGATGCTAGCTTCCCCAATGACTGGAGGGCCTGAATGTCTCTATTTTCACGACACTTTGCTGTCAAAAACACTGAAAACACATTATTAGCCTACTGTGCCTGACAGGGATCTAGATCCAGTTCTCTCTCCCTTCTGGGCAGTGTGCCATCCCTTAGGGATGCTGTGGTTTCCTCCCCACAGCCATGCTCACTCCCTCTCTTCCCGGCTGCCCTGGTTAAAGAAGGGGCTCAGACCCAGATCCCAGAGCAGGGAGCAGCAGCCTGCCATGCTCCTGGCTAACACACAGTCGTGAGCTGTCCACACAGCCCCCAAGAGCTGTCTGTCTCAGCCATGTCACAGGCAGATACTGCATCTGAGAGAGCAAGACCATTCACCCATGATGTACATGCTCGCTGCCTGGAGGCCTGCTGCACATGTCTGACACCCCAGAGGACAGGGAAACCTTCAGGAAAAGTAGCCCATGGGGTTCATTTATTGAGAAGCTGAATCCAGACACTCTGCGGGCATTTTCCCAACATTCCTTTGGTAAAACATACAAAGGCCCTCAGGTCTAGCTCAGGGTCCCTTCTCTGTGTTTGTTTAACACCACAGTCTGTGAGAATTTCCTAGCCTTTCACTGTGCTAAAATCTCCATGAGGGCAAGAAGCAGATCAGTGCCTGTCTCAGAACAGATTATTAATACATTTTTGTATATATTGAATCTCTCAACAAGTCTGAGTTATGGGTGTGATTAGCCCTATTGGAGACTTTTGTTGTTGTTGAATATTCTTGGTAGGGACTCTTAGATGTCTGCCTCAGAGGATCAGGCATTTTCATTTGCCTGTGGTGCCCGTCATGAGAGGAGGGCTGGAAACAGTCTGGTTATTGTACCTCCAGGAGAGGACTACAAAGTCTTTATCCTCCTTAATCTTACCATGTCACTTAAGAAAAATTTCTCTCTTAGGTTTTTAGTACACTATATTTTCTTGATTCTCCTATTACCTTTCTAGAAGAAGTTCCTTCTTACTCCCAAGACTAATTGATTCATTTATTCACTACCAACAATGTGACAAGATACTTTTATCCTATTTGCCCTTTTGTTAGGCAATCCTGACAAGTTATGACAAAGCACAATGAAAGGACTTCTCAAAGCGTGACCTGGGAGTTCCTGGGGGAGCAACAGATCCTTTCAGAACTCCAAGAAACAAAACTCTTTTAACTGGGTCTTCTTCACTTCATCCCCAAACTTGTTCTCCCTCCCCTAGTCTTTACTGACCTTCACCTCAAGTGACTCAAGCCAGAACTGCAGCGGGCATGAACAGTCTGCGTCTCTAAAATCATCAGCAGTTATATCTACTAATTTCTCAATTGAACCTCACAGCTTTCCATAACT